TCCAACGCTGGTCCACCAACTGTTGCTAAGGAAAAAGGCGAGAATGATGATGATCAGAACAACATGCACCATGGGATTTTTTATGTTGGGATTAGTACAAAATCTAAATCGAAAACTCTTGCAAACAAAAGAATAAGCGAAAGGATTCATGTGAAAAAAGAAGCTGTCAAGAAGTAGAAGTATCATTTGTTTCATGTTATGTGAACCTTAAGTTGTTTGAACCTCGTTATTTAGTTTACAGATTGTCTTAAGTTTTTTGTGAGTTGTTTGAACCTTGCTAATGTGGTTTGCTTGAAAGAAACTTTGACTTTAATTTCATTACTTTGACTTTCAAGCTCTGTTCAATTTGTAAATTGCTAAACTTTTGTACTCAAACATTGCAGAGTAAATTCGTTAACGTGGAACATGGTGAAGTTCAAAGTCAGAGTGTCAATGGCGATGAGCCAAGTGTTATGATTATTGGCAGAGTAGAACCACGACCAAATTATGTACCTTCTCTAAAAGCAAAATAAGATAAACAAAAAAGGTGGCCATGGTTTTGGCATGGGTAAAGAGTGACAGACTAAAGAAGCTTGTTCCATTACAGGTTTCTCCTTTTTTAGGACATAAATACGTTAAGTTCATCATTCCAAAAGGAAAAAGATATGATCCTTTTGAGCCCGCTAATAAGCAAAAGATGAAGGTACTTGAGGATTGGCTAACACTCGAACTGTAAATAATAGGTTTCTACTTGTATTAATTTGTTTTTCAGCTTTGTAATCATAAACTAAATTGTGATGGTACTAAATTGTGATTGTATACAACAATTATCTGGAGATAGAGTCGAACACTAGTCTAGAGTGGTGTTGGATTCTACGGACTATGAAAAAATATCTAAAAGACTCGGTACAGTATACTCCTTTTGTAGACTTCGTTTGTAGATTTTTTTGTAGACTTTGTTTGTAGAGTTTTTTTATTGTTCCGTTTTGCTGATCTCTTGTCTTAATATTGCAGCACATGGATGGTGCAATATGTCTACTGAGTACTCGAAGCATCCAAAGTATTTTAGGAGCAACAAAAATTGCTTTGTTGACACAATCTTATTCACGATGTGGACTGGCAAGTACAAGGACTTCGTTGATTTTCCTACAAATGAAGATGGTTTCGGTAAACTCTTACCCCCTGCAGCGTTGGATTAACAAAAAGGTATAGAACCAGCTTATTGCAGATCAAACAAGCTGTAGGGAATTGAAGTTGACGATATATATAGCCCATTACACATAAAAGGTAATCATTGGGTGGCTCTGTGGATTTCACTTTCAAAGAGACATATTGTTGTCTGGGATAGTATTCTGAGTTACACAGATGATGAAGAAATTGCGATGGCAGTGGAGCCTATATTCGTCATCATGCCTTATCTAATCCGTTATACATGTTTAGCAGAGGACAGGTGGAAGTATCCATATGATCTATACACACATGAGCGGATTAAAGTCGGAGTACCACAAAACGTGCAAAGTGTTGATTGTTGAGTGTATTCTATGGAGTACATTAAATGTCACGCTCTTGGCCATCCATTTACTTCGAGCTTGTGTGATGCTCGTTGCTATTAGGGAGAAGTTTGCTGCTGAGATATTCGACGAGACTAGCATACGTGGCACATTATTTCGCACGTATAACTAGTTGGACCTATATGAATAATATTGGTCCACCAAGTTATATGCTTTTGTAATCTCGCTTAACTTTTAGGATTCTTGCATATATCTTTTAGATGTAAGAAAAACTCATATCATTTATTTTTTGTTACTATTGCGGGATGTAACTCGGGTAACTATGATATTATATGGCTAATGCCATATCTCAGAATGTATATGATAATCTATGAAGTTTTTTATCGATAGAATTCTTTAATTCGATTTTTAAGATACAAAATCACCAATTTTGTGTGCAAATGCAATCCATCAGAAGAATAGAAACTTTTAATTATACAACATTATGACAAGATTAGAAATTTGGACGCATGCTCCTTCAGTACTATTCAGCTGATTTATTTGGAACTCTACTTCTTCTACCATAGACTTCGCAAGCAGACTTCACGAATAGACTTCTCCGGCATACTTCCATACCAGTCCAAAGAAAACCAGTCTTTATTCAGGAATACCTCCTGTTAAAACAATACAAACAAAAACCAACATGGTATAACAGGAGATGGTACTAGGCAGGGAGTAGATGGTATTAAGTAACAAAATTCGGCATTGTATGTCCTCCTTGCTTGCATTTTGAATAGTTGTATTGACTGTGAATCTTTTGCGATTTTGTGCCTTTCATCTTCGCGATTTCTAGCYAAGTTTGCCACCTCGACTTCTTATTTGTACCAGGACGAGGCTTAATGTAAGGAGGGAGACATGGCACATCTTCACGTCCTTTTAAGGCGACATTGCGAGTATACGGCATACAAATAATCCTTCGTGTAGGACGGGCAGACAATAGTTGACACATATTGACTAACTGATATCAACGCCGCAATAACATGGGAGCAAGATATCTTTTCAATATAAAGGACACCACATGAACACTTCTTATGTCCCAAATCAACAAGACAATCTCTTACTCCTCCCATCACATGAAATTTCCAGTCATCGATTTTTTCCACCATCATTGTAGATGCGTAATAGTCACGAATGGCCAACAAATATTCAACTCCTCTACTGTGGTGTGTTGTTAAACTCATACCATCTTATTGTCTTTTAGAAAACCACCTTCCTAACTTCTCTCAGATAAATTCTAAAAGAAATGATATGGGAAACCCTCGAGCTATTTTAAGTGTTGCATTGATAGATTTGTTAATATTGCTTGTTTTTATATTGTATCTATCTCCGTCGCAGTGAACTCGTGACCATAACTTCGGGCCTGCGTCCTCTAAATATGTCGCAAGTTCGGGTTTTACGTTGCGGATCGCATCCATGTATCTTTCATAATCTTTCAACAGAAAACATATACCTCGTGTTGCCCAAGGGAAAATCGTCTCGCACGTC